TCCCAAAAAAACCATGTTTGCGAAGGATGCGAGCAACAAAAAGCCTATTGAACTCATGGTGGAGGTTATGTTTTTTACATGCTTATGAGTTATAATATGGAAGTTCTGAGCCAAGGCTCATACATATTCCAGAGCTGGAATCAATCTTTTATAAATTATCCCTTCCAATGAGAATCGCACTCGTGTCCCTCCAAATTTCTACATTTCTACTAACCTAAATTCAACTACTACACAACCCCATGTTTTTTTATTCGATTTGAGTTTTTTTTTTGTTTGTTTCCTTCTCTTAACATTTTAGAAGTATTTCTAACCGTATTCATTACTTTGGTTCAATTGCAAATAAATATTTTGCCTAGTTTAAGGTTTGCATGAGATAATATTGATCTGCCATTTTTAATATTAATATTATATATATATATATATATGGTTTTTATTCATAGATAACTAGTTGAGGATACATATTAAATGAGACATTTATTCTTAATTTGGAGGACTAGGAGGATCGTCTTTGCAGCAACAAAGATCTTTTTCTTTCAGGCAAACCCCTTCGTACCAATCTCTAGTTTTGCAATATTTATTACAGTCTCTTTCATTTGGACATCCATCTTTACAAAATCTGATAAATTGTTTTCTTTTCATATGGAATTGTGTTCCTGTTTGGATCATTAGTAAACACATTACAATAATTTTAAATATAAAAAATGATCAAGTAATATTTTAGTACGTGTATGCAAATACAAAACATTTTTTTTCTAGTAATTTTGACTCACTCGGTAAGGACATCATGAAAAGTTTGAAAAGATTTCAGTATAAAAAGTGTGTGTTTAATATATACGAATTAAAAATAATTAGATGATTATGTTACCTGAAATTATGGGTAGAAGGATCAAAGCAAACACCATCAATGAAAGTAATATAAAAGGTGAAGCGTTTTTGGTTGCCATTAGTTAAGTTTCTAGAGATAGCAACAACACTTTCAATCTCACGAGAAAACAATACCTATAAAAAAATATGTTCAAAATCGATATTAGAAGAAGTTCGGATATAATAGAAATATAGGTAGTAAGAACAAATGTAATAACAAAAACTAGTATGTTTATTATAGAAAGCAATATTTTAGTCATTGGTGAAAACAAATTTTCAATTTTTTCATTAACAAATTGTTGTGTTCTTCGTATAAATTACCACTATCTTATGTAAAATCTATAATCTTTTTAACTGGTTTACCTTTTGATTTTCTAATATATACTTGTATTTGTTTAATGATCTTGTTGTATTTGTATTTATATACACATTAATGTATATATATATATATATATATATATATGTATTGTACATATATATTTTTAAAACTTTTTCCATATTATGTAATAAAGTATGTAATGAGTTTTCCATAAAAGAAAAGATTCACTTAATAAATTTTTTTATTAATTGGGAATATAAATTTGGTCTAAGGGTTCCATTCTTTATTTAGTTCCTGTTTTAGATTGGTTTTATATGTTAATTCATTAAAATTATACAAATTTTCATATCAATTTTATCAAAGAAATTATATTATGTAGATCTTAAATAAACATAAATGAGAAAGAAGAAGTTACAAGCATTTATTAATGCTTCATTTTAACCAATATTATTGAAATGCCCACATGGCATTACCTATAATTATAAAAGAACATAAATTAGTTATTAAAAAAAAAATCTTAAAACTGTTGGAGTTGGGCATAGCAATATTAAGTACATGAGTGGAAATGTTCAAAGGGCCTTTAAAAGTACCACTTTGACCCATTAGCCTAGCGTAACATCAGCTCTAGCTGAGATCATAGAAAAATGAGATAGGGATCGAGACCAATTCAAGGAGATTTCATAAAAGACCTAGGATCGAGGAGAGAGTTGAATCTTCGACGAAATTGAACTGACAAGGGCCTATATAAAGAAGGAGGCAACTCCTAGAAGTGATAATTGCCAACTAGCTCTACATATATCAACACTTAAGCAAAATACTCTCTAAATACATTGTAAACATCAGTCTACTTCATACTAAGCACATTATCATCAATAAAGTTCACTCGTTCTAACCAAACATATTTGTTTAGTTTTTAGTGAGAATCTAGCCTTTTTCCTCGTAAGTATCTTATTAAACTTGAGTGTGGGTTTTTAGCAACCATGGCGCCATTTGTGGGGAAAAACAATATTTCTTTTACGTTGAAACGAACCTTATCTTTGTGGGTAATGAAATGGATTCCCAACTATCCGAATACATGAGAACAAGTCCATCAGCCCAGATCTTACACATGATGGAACAAACCGACCATGAGCATTGTCGTCTGCTGAATCCCTCCAAAGATCAAACAGTGTTTCCTCGCATCACCAATGTTGATAACCTCCCGCAAACCACCACCTTGTTCACTTTGGAATGACCTACCAATCATATCCGAACCAAAGGGGAAAATCACAGTACATCATGATTTCCCAACTGACCAGAACTTTTGTCACCTAACCTGGCAAACATCTCGGACCACATGATCAGGATATCTGTGGAAGACATGGCGGATTTCCGCTCAATGCTCCTGGTATTGGTTGAATGAATCCAAACCCAAGAAATCGTGAGCCACAACCTCACAACTCGCCTAGAACAACAAGAACGCGAGCTCGCGGACAAATTTTCTGACTCAAGGAGACTTCCAACTCATGCGACCCCAGCTTTGCCCTCCTACAAACCAAGGGGTACAACACGACCATGGGATCAAACTCCAAGAATCCACCTAGACTTCTTAAGAGTTCAGGTGACTACTCGCCCAGAAAGGACAGTCACCTTCACGCAGACAAAAGTCCAACATATCCCTATGTTCCCTGTTTTTGGGAGCCCTCCACAATAGGCGAACTACACGACATGAACAAACAACCACACCGTACCATTCTTTCCCATGCTACTATCGTCGCTGCTCCTACCACGAGGCTTTTCACTACCAAGGTAGAACTGGACAGGAAAAAAAATCCCAGTCTCCAATTCTTAGGCACCTCAAGGTCAGACACAACCTCGGACCTTGTTAGAGGATTTTTAACCTAGACCAGCAAACCTCCATGCACCAATCGGTGCAAGAAACAACACCAGACCAACATACGCCTCAACTCAAACCAAATTGGTAGACCCACACAATATAGTCGACCCATAGTCCACATGGTAGTGAGCTCGACACCTAACATAGATCTGGTCATAGAGAAAACAAGGCCAACCCCCTTCTTAAAGCCTTATATAAATTAGGTCAATTCACCTTTTTCCATGATCTAACTCATCTAGCCTAGCCACGGTGTTGAATAAATGGATCTACTAAAGGGAGGCAAATCTTCTTAATTAGCTTCGCCATAAGTAGTTATTAGTTTTGTGAATTTATTGGATTCGGTTTTTATTGCGTGATTGGATTACTTAGAACCAAGCTTAGCTAATGTTTTTGTAGCGCTGTATTCCCTTCATAGAATTATCACTCAGACACCATTAGAGTAATTTAAAATAGAAATAAGATTTCAAGCTTTTAGAATCATAATCGTAACATGTTTATTATATACTCTCTAATTCTCTATTTCTTATATTTATCTATTTATATTATATTTATTTATTTAATTATCTATTTTAATTATGTAAAATTACCTGAGTTCTTGCAACTTCCTATTGTTCTAGCTTAGTTTAAATCTTTGCAAGTCTTTTGTGTGTTTATTTGTTCTCTGTGGATTCGATCTGTAAATACTACTGCGCTGGCATGTGCACTTGCGGTTATAGTTAAGAGTAAAACTTTTATGTGTAAAATTTACCCATAACAAGTTTTTAGCGCCGTTACCCGGGACTAATTAGCAAACGCCACTAGATTTTAGATTTACATTCAGTCTAGGATTTTTATTTTAATTTATAATTATTAATTTTTCATTATTTACTAATTAAAATCTCCATTGGTTGACCAAGGGTTAATTAATGCTTCTACACCCAAAGGTCTGGGGTTCGAGTCCCGGATAATGCGATTTATTAATAAATTTGCAAATTATTGGAGGCAAGTGTGCAGGAGATCTCCAGCGATGTACAATTATAGCCGTTCGCCAGGATTCTACGCAGAAAGAGAAGTGTCCATCAAGAGCATGAAGAAGGAGGTGAAGGAGGTGTCGTCTGTCGTAAATCTAATAAGGGTCGGAAAGAATTGTCCGTTGTAGAATCGTCTATGTAACAGTTCTCATAATTTGCAATAAATAATAAATCCAGACGACAAAAAAAAAAAAATCTTCTCTTGTTTCTATGTGTGTTTCAGGTGAATGCAAACAAGGTAAAAAGGAAATTCTGATATACTAAACCCTGCAAACCCTGAGCTAGCTAGGATCGAGAGAGAAGGTAACAAATCAAGGAGAAACATAAAAGCACGAAACATAGAGATGGTTGACATTCAAGGCTTTCCTACTACATACGGAGTGAACTTGGATAACAACCCTCTACGATCGATGCACCACCACCACTGATCGGTCAACAGCTTCCCATTCCACCGATCGGTCAACATCAACCACCGATCGGTATCCTGCCAGTCATTCTACCGATCGGTTTCATCCCAGTACTGATCGGTGCAGGAGGCAATATTGGTGAACGTGAAAAAATGCTTTGAGAATCAACAATCCCAACCAATTCTATGCAAACATAGCTATGATTCAGCCTCTAGCAGTTCTTCGCACATATTATGAGATTAAGCCTCAAATAATCGGGTTTGTGAAGCAACACCTAAAGCTTCGTTTCCAACGCCCATGCTTCAAAAAACCCCATGGATCATGTGCATCAATTCGAGGACTTTTGAAACACGACAAAGGCTAATGGTGTTCATGAGGACTACTTGAAGCTTACCCTCTTTAAGTTCTCTGTGGGACACAAGGCGATGAACTGGTTAAGACTCTTGCCTGCCAGGTCAACCACCACGTGGGAGCAACGCATGAGGCAGTTCCTCAATGACTTCTTATGTAAATCGAACACCATCATGATGAGCAACAAGATTTCAACTTTTGTTCAAGGTGGACAAGAGTCTTTCTACGAGGCATGGGATCGATTTACAAGGTATTGGAGAGAGTGTCCACACCATGGTTTCAGTAATGAAACGCTTATGCATATCTTCTACCAAGGCATTCCGCGAGAAGTACCAGTTGACTCTTGATACGGCTAGTTGGTATGAGGTCAAAATTTCTTAAGACTATTTTCTCAAATAAGAGATCGTTGTAGCACTTGAGAGTCAAATTCCACAAAATACTTTTGTTCACACATAAGACTAAGAGCATCTACAATGGTTAAATACTCTTTTTGAATATCTGTCCAATATTATAATAGTATTTTAAATGTAATTATGTTATTTAATTAAATTGTAAGTGAACAAAAAATTTAAACCAATCATATTAATACAAGTGACATAGAAAGGTTCTTAAATAAGAGTCCCAAAGGTTCTTAAATGAGAAATTAAGAGCTTCTCCAAAGGCAGGTTCTCTTCAATTTTTGGAGGAGTTCTCATCTGTAATTGCCCAAAAAATAATTCAAAATTGATTAAACAAGAGAGAATCGACTCTCTTCAAAGAGTTTTGAGACTTTGAGAGAGGCGGACACGTGTCGATTGGAGGATATGCTTTTAACAAAAGAAAAAAAAAAAACTCATTTGTTTTACTTTTTTCTCTCGACAAAAAAAATAAAACACAGACTCTCTCTCTCGAATCAGAATTCTAGAATTTCATACGATTATGGGGTAGATTAAGCACAAACAAACATGATTCGGGAAAGCTAAATTGATGTCTAGGGTTGAGTGAATCAAACGCAGTAGAATGAAGACGTACTTTCGGAAGATTGACGTAGTAAGATTGAAGATTGAACCAAATTCGCCGCCACGGCGTCCATGATTAGCCTCCGAGAGAAGCAAAAATCGCAACTTTGGCCAGAGAAAGGAGAAAGGAAGAAGAATCCTAGGGCTAGAAACTGTAGACAGACGAACAAAATTGGTGATTAAACCGGTTAGTGTGGATGGTTTATTGGTTTATAATTATGACTCTTATCTCTTTTCATAATACCACTCACTTTTGTTTTTTTGATAATTACGGAAAAAATTCTGGCACAAAAATTAATTATAAACCAAATTAACGAAATATACTATTGCTAGGATTGGATTTATGATTTTTACAATTTAATTTGGTTGAGCATATGTGGCAAAAATTTCGCAAAAATCATCAGTACAACTAATCGTTATTCCGGTTTTGGTTTTACACATCTTTTTTTTTTTTTTTTGATAAAAGGTTTTACACATCTTTTTAAAAATGTTTGAAATAATGTTTTTTTTTTTGTCATCTAGAATTTTATTATTGATCTTGTAATGGAACCAAGGTGAAATACAAAGCCCAAAAGAGGGAAACTAAAGCCGGCGGACAACATGAAAGTCCCCGGAGACAAAGCCGGCGGAAGACGAGATTTCCCCGGACGCTAGGCCCTAACGAAGAGAAACTAAACATAGTAAAGCAAAAGATTTCAAACCACAAACGCAAGAGGTCGAAGCCAAAAACTAAGAAAAAAGTCGAAGGCATAAACCTTAAAAGAAACAATAGACCCAAGAAAACAAGTAACCCAAAACTTCTGAAGCACCTGCGATTGAGATTTACCAAGGATGCCCGCGGCCAACCCGAAAATAACATCTACCTCCTCCTATCACGATGAGAGCTGATCTCTCGAAACCAAGAACCAAGACTTCATAACCCGGCAAGCGAGACAAAAGAGTTAAGGGAACCTCGAGCACACTTCCGAATACGACTGCTGACGACTGCTGCGTCCACTAGCGTCTAACTAGAAACCTTCAAAAGGCGATCCTATCACATCAGATCAGGAAAGCAAGGACAAGGAGAAAGGCCCAACCACTCGAAAACCGAGCCAGCTAACAACCACAGCGAACAACATCAGGGAGAAGAATGAACTGAAAACTTAGAGGTCTATCGATCCAACCAAACAAAACTGAACTTCTTCTTAGCAAGGAAAAGAACCCAAAGTGATTCATAGGATGAGACGAGGAGACCGGGAACGGAAAGAAGAGCAAAGGCATGACTGAACCTGACTAAAGCCTAAACACCACTCAACATAAACGGCTTGGAGACAGTAAGCACAAAAGCGACAATGAATAAGGAACAGATCCAGTAAAACAATGGCATAATTCACAGAGCAGCACCGTAGATCCTACAGATCCGGAACCAAACGTTTCGCTAAAACATATACCCAAACAACGCTGCTACAACCGTAACCGCAAGACCCAAGAATACACTCGCAACAAACTAGAAAAATCACCAAACGCAGGCCGAAAGCAATGCAAACAAACCAAAATCAACAAAGACAAAGAGAAATCTGACCACCGGCAGCCAAAAAACCGGAGAAGCTTAGCCACCACCCAAAAACCACCGGAGAGAAACCCCACAACGAAGAGACCTCCACCACCGAGACACAAAACCTCCGCCACCACTAACAGATCCGAGAACCATGCCTCTCCTGAAACACCACCTCGAAACCCGACGCTATCTCCTCTACAAGAACCGATTTCGTTCTCGAAAAATCATGATTTGAGAAGAGACCAAAATCGAAGGCCATGCCGCAACAAGGAGAAGAAACCACCAATCCAAAACACCACTCACCCCTTCCACCAGCTAAAAGCTCCGCCGAAATCGAACCACAGCAACCAAGAAACTCAACTTGCCTTTACGAACCTCTAAACACCAACCCAACAAAACTAAAAAGAAAGCAAAAACGAAACTGAAACAGAGCAGAGGGAGGCCAGATCCGTTGCTATGGAAGCCAAAGCGATCCAGCCTCTGATCTAAAAAAAATTTCTCGGCGGCTGCTGAATGTTGAGAGAGAAAAAAACTATTAAATTACAATAATTATTAAATTTTATGAAAAAATATTTTTAATAATTTTTTTGTCCTAAGAGAACTTCACTAGAGAACCTACCATTGGACTATGAATTTTTTTTTTTAAAAGCAAAAGCTCTCATCTCACATTTTCAAAAAAATTATAATAAAAAATTGAAGAGAGTCTCATGGAGAGAGCTCCCCATTGGAGATGCTCTAAGAACCCATACTTACTCTCTTTCTTCTTTTTTTTTTTGATTATTTTATATTATTTAAATGTTAAGAGATTCATTTAAAAAAAAAAAAAAACTCCATTGAAGATGTTCTAACAGTCTTAAAATTAAACTAAACAGAAAGATTGTAATTAAAATAAAGCAAAGCAAGTAAATTTGGTTGTAAATTCAGATGGAAAAAACGTCAAGCTCAGAGAATTTCTCAGAAAATATCATAGTTGTAGATCGATCAATTATTGATATGATTTATTAAGGACCATTCTAGAACTCAAATCACGAAATTAAATCAATTAACTCTCGTTTGTTTCGATTAACTATGTCTAATGTTGAGAATCCCAACTCTCGTTGTGAATTCTTAAGAGTAAACAAGAATTAAGTTTATGTTCGATATGTTCACAAAAATACAGTAAAACCTCTATAAATTAATATTGTTGGGACCATGATATTTTATTAATTATAGTGCAAATTAAAATTTATTAATTTATAAAGAGATTTATTTAATTCTTAAAATTTTAGAAGTAAATGAATTGAGACAATTTCATCGAAATAAAATTAGTGTTTTTGGATGTTATAAATTTTGTAGTTTTAGATTTGAAATTTTAGTAATTAGAAGAAAAAAAAAAGTTCAAAAATAAATTAGACAATAAAATTACAAAGACTATATATAGGTAAATTCACTTATACAAACGATATATGTAAATTCAAATTTATGGTTAATGACCTTAATTATCATATTTTAACGGCTATAAGAATATCGAATGAAAATGATGCATATTCAAAAATTAAAAATTTACAAAAAATCTTGACTATTTTATGACACAGTTATAGAGTATACTACAACACTATAATTTAAAAACACAATAGACCAATTATTTATTCAATAAAAGCTAAATATGGGTTCTGTCGAAAATTCAATTTAAAAAAAAAAAACACTAAAAGGAGACCTTAGTATATCAACTTATATATATATATATATATATTATAAATAATAATCATATAAATTTACATATATATATTAATGGGACCATATATTTACTTAGAGATTCTTAAAAATTATTATATTATTATCTTATCGAATTTTGTCGAATTTTACATTGGTCCGACTTGTGACCGGACAATTTTAATATTTTATAGTGTTTATTAATTTATCGACTATTAATTTATAGAGGTTCTACTGTATCTAAACCAAATCTCTTTGACAATAGAGAATTTTGTTCACTCAAGATAGTTCAAGGAAAATCACACTCTCTTGCTAATTAATCCTAAGATCAAATTCTTGTTAGCTACTCTATAATAGGCATTACCAACAATCATAAGTGAAGAACTCTAAAGATTTATTCTAACAGTTTATCAGACCTAACAATGCATCTAAATCCCTATTGAGAATCCCTAAACCTAACAAGCAGACTCCTCAGACATGATCTTAGAAACAGAAAGCATGTTTTGAATAGAAAGCATAAAAGAAATAAAGAAAATAATAGAGATTAGAAGGATCTTCTCTCTACAAGGTTTTGAATTCTGAAATAAGCTCTCTCCAATTATTCCCAAAAGGTTCAAGCTCTCAAAAATTCAAGAAAATTGCAAAGTAAAAGATAGGTCTAAACAATGACCAAAAACTCTATTTATAAGCTTCTAAAATGTTCAAGGACTAAATTGCAAATTAAATAGGGAAGTTTTCCGAGCGTTTCCGTAATTCTATAAAACTTTTTAAGTTGTCGAAACTTCTCTGGGCCGACTAAGGTGTCGACCGACACTAAGTGGGTGTCGATCGACACTCACTCCTTGATCCGATTCCAGATTCGTTCCTTCAGCTTAATTTCTTCGGTTTCTCTCCAAAACGCTCTATTATCTCCAAATGCATCCCGATCGTATAAAGACTTGAAATGACTCAAAAAGGATTCTAGAAATAACATAAATACTGTAAATAACATACCTATATCATGGTTAATAACCGAACAGACAATGATATATCAACTCCACAGCCTTAGATTTT